AATTATCATCTAAGTAAAATTAATAATCATGACAAAAATAATAACAAGATATTAATTTTAGAATTTATAAGCATAACCTATTAAACCATTTAGGATAAGCATAGATTATCAAGTTCTTCTTCTACCAATTAGTTCTCTAGTTGATTATCCTATACATGATCATTTTAAGTGCAAGAGAAAAATTCACATAATATAAAGGAAATTAGACTAGTTTCATACAATTCTAAAATTCCTACAAGAGTTAGTTCTAAATCTTAAGAAATAAAAGCAAGAAATTAAATAAAAAATAAAAACTAATTACAAAGAAGAAAAATAAAAATAAAGAAATCTACACTATGAACAAGAAATAAATCTAACTAAATTATAAAAGAAATGAAAATCTAGATTATGCAAAAAATTAATCTACTATACAAATTAAAATACAAAATAAAATAAAGACAAGAAAATAAATCTACTCTACAAGACATGAATGTAAATCTAAACTTATAAGCAATAAGAAAGAAATTACTAAAAAAAATAAAAAATATAAGGGAAAAATAAAATAAAAGCAAACCTCCAAATTGATTTTCATCTTCATCATCATCATCAAACAAAGAGAAAAAAATTTATAGTGATGAAAAAAAATTCTTTTATTGATTGCAACAAAAAGTTATAATTTTGAAAGGTCTTCCTAATTAAGAGTAACCCTCCTCTCCAAATGGAGTTATAAAATTTTTCACACCCTCAACCTCTCACTCTCTACCCCTATTTATAGTAAACATTAATGGATGTGAGCCATTAGATTGAACTTGAGCCACAAGACAAGAAAAATCAGCCATTGGATTGTAACAGAAAAACTACATCGACGTATGCATCGATGCTGGTATCGATGCCAGCATCGATGCCCAATCAATACCCCTAACGATGCCTATTGTTTCCAACTTTTGACTTCACAGATGGCTTCGTCTCGTCGAGATAGGTGATTTTTATATATTATATATTAAATCCTATCTTCTGGATTAGGAGATATCGTCGTTTCTTTACGGCTAACCATCTTGAATATAATTTCTTTTCATATTGGATTTTTGAATTTCTTCGACTTCTATAAGCTACTCGGCTTGATTTTGGGCTTCAATAAAATGTTACAGAATGAGAATGTTAGGGACTTTTGGGCTTTTATTCATTATTTCTTCATTAACCTGAAATTTAAGATAGAAACAATTATTAGTGATATATTTATTCATGTAAAATAGATAATAATGGTATAAAATTGTAATAAAAATATGATTATCAAATACCCCCATACCTAAACTTTTGCTAGTCCTCTAGCAAAGAAAGAAAAAAAAATTCTAACTCACTTTCGTAGGAATCGTAATTGTATTTAGCGCATACAACAAGCCTTTAAACCCCTAGGTTATCCTAGAGGATGAGTTGTAGTCTCGTGAGGGTTTACAATGAATATACCTCTATTGAATATTATTGTTAAGGCGCAATCCATCTAACCTCTAACAATGTTGTTTGTCTAGAATACATAATAGGCAAGTATGAACATTAGACAAACTATATTAGGAATTGTTTATAAATCATCAAAACAAGATTAGATAGTAGGCTCATAAATATGAGTCCTAACATATATCCCCAAGTCCCACAATCTTCGAGTAGTTGGTATTGCCCATCTTTACATTGCCAAAATCACCTACTTTATATGACGTGAAAATATCTCGATTGGAGGTAGCATGACATGTAGCTCCTGTATCCACTATCCACTCAGAATTCTGACTTGTAACATGCATACAATCTTCTTTCCTGCAAATAAGAATAACATCAGTCTCAGACAAAGTAGCTATAGGGTCACTATAAGCTTTCTTCTTTCCATCTTTTTTTTCATATTTGTTCTCAGCTTGCGTTTTCTTTAATGCCCAACAATTCTTCTTGATATGACCTAGTTTCCGACAATAAAAACAACCTCTCAATTTAGATTTTGATCTGCCTTTGGATGTGCCACGATCTTTGGACTGGTCCCTATACCTGCTCTTGCCCCTGTTCTCCGCGACAAGTGCCTGTGAGTTGTCTGTACTGGTAGACTTCCTCCGAGTCTCTTTATTGAATAAACTACTAGTAACTATACTCATCGATAACACACCATCTGGAGCTGTATTGCTGACTGTCACAACCACTGTCTCCTAACTGTCTGGCAAAGAACCCAATAGCAATAAAGCCTGTAGCTCATCATTGATATTCATCTTCATGATAGCTAACTGATTAATCAAACTCTTGAACTCATTCAAGTGCCCTGCTATGTTGCTTCCTTCTTAGAATTTTAAGTTCACCAACTGCCTCATAATAAACGTCTTGCTTTCCACAGTCTTTTGCTCGTAGAGATCCTCAAGGTTCTTCCAAAGAGACTTCACATTAGTCTCACTCGATATATGATGAAACACACTAACGTCAATCCACATCCGAATATAACTAATCGCCTTCCTGTGTTGTTTCTCCCATTCTTTATTAGTCATCTTTTCTGGTTTGGCTTCATCTCCCTCAATAGGGTCATGTAAATATTTACAATACGGAATATTTTCCATCTTGGAGTTTGATACTTGCCAATTGGAACCATCCAATTTCATCATTGTGCCAAAAACTCTCCATCTTTTTCATCCCAAAGAACACCTCGAACCAGGGCTCTGATACCACTTGTTAGGGATTTTAAGGAGATTAATCCGCGGAATTAAACACTAAATGAATAACAGCACCAATGAAAATACCACAAGCAAGCAAACACTAAGATTTAACGTGGTTCGGCAAATCGTGCCTACATCTACGGGATAATCCAGAGATAAATATTTTACTATTAATCAAGAGTACAACCCCTTCAAGTTACATCTGAACTTGAAGATTAAATCACAAGAGAAAGATACAATGTTACCTTTAGGGCATCAAAACCCTAAAACCCGCCTCACTAAAATTCTCCAGCACCCATGGAGAAACCAACACTGTACCCTCGTCGACGTCATCATCCTAAAGACAATGGCTTTTACATCACTACAATCGGACAACCGATCTATCCGAAATCTAAACTTTTTTCTCTCTTTTTTTCTCACGGTACTGTATCCAACATTGTAGCAACAAAAAAATACGGGCTTCTCATATACAGAATTCTCCAAATATATTCCTATTTCAAATAGATCATCCAAACCCACTTCTAGATAGAGTTTTAATTCATGTGAACCTCATGTGGGCCTTATCTTGGGCTGGACCCACAACATGAAGGTGCAAACTCCATACAATCATCCATGCTGATGCATCAACACGAAGCCTATTGGCCCTATGGTCTTCACATTAATCCATCGATTATTGATTTTTGTGAATATGGTGGGAATGGATTGGGTGTGGATGAGGTTGCGAGTTTGGTGCTCGTGTATGGTGACACGATGGCGGCGGAGATGAGAGCACCTAATGACTCACACCCTCTCCCTCAACTGCTACCGCTCAGTGATAGAAGCAACAGAGGAGTACGATTTGAGCTGCTGAAGACCATCATCTTCATCAATTTGTCTTACCGCCACATTAATTTAGAGATTTTTTGTTTGGATGTCGCAGTTAGATGTTAAATACGATAATAAGAAATAAATACGATATTTATTTCTAAAATTTCCAAATACCAATCAAAGGTAGCATTTAATAGCTTAAAGTCACAAATAAGAAAGAAATATAATATTTAATAGGTTAATGTCACAAATAATATACAAATGTAATATTTAATTATTAAACATCACAAATAACAAGCAAATGTAATATTTGTTACCTAAACGTCAAAAATAAAATTATGTAGTTTTTTTTGTTAAACGAATCTTTTATTCACTCACTATAGAAAAATAGAAGTATAATCCCATAGCATTAGCAAAAACCAAGCTAGAACAAGGCTATTACATCATAACCTCTCAGTTTATATTATATCAGAATAGGGTGATTATACAAACTCACAAAGACAGCCTTTTTTAATCTTGCACACAATTTGGTTCGCATTAAATCATCTGCCCATATGCATTCTCCAGCTCCTTTCCAACCATAGGAAGTAGAATGTAGTTGATAAAGCCAATCTGCAGACTCTGTGTGAATTTGCCCACACATTGAGAAAACCAATCCATCAAATTCACCATATATGATACAAATTCTCCATTTAAAAGAAAGCCAATCCATGATTGTGTTCCAAACTTCAGTAGCATATGCACACTAAAAGAAGAGGTGGGTGTGACTCTCCTGAGATAAGTCACACAACACACACCAATTATTTCTAGCTAATCAATCCCGTCCTGCGTGGTCTATCGGAGGCTGAGTAGTCCGTGCAACATGGATAACTAGAGAATCACTAAGGCTGTGTTTGGTTTGAGAGAAAGGCAGAGAAAAGAAAATGAAAGAGAAAGTAGAAAGAAAGGAAAAGGAAAAGAAAAGAAAATGATATTCTTTTTATTGTTTGGTTAGAAAGAATATTGTAAGGAAAGTTAGAAGAAATTCTTTTTATTGTTTGGTTAGAAAGAATATTGTAAGGAAAGTTAGAAGAAAATTCATAAGAAAGTTATTTTCTCTTGTTTGGTTACATTAGAAAGAATATTGTAAGGAAAGTTAGAAGAAAATTCATAAGAAAGTTATTTTCTCTTGTTTGGTTACATTTCTAAGTAAAAGATGAAGAAAATTATCACAACATAATTTTAATTCATATTTTTTAAAATTAGATTTAGATTTTAAATAATTTACAAAAAATAACTAAATTAAATTGTGATTCTATCATATTTTCAAAAAATTTGTAAGTTATCGAACATGTTTGCACAATCTTGGGAAGTAACAAGTTATAAATATGTATTTTTAAAAATTTGGCAATTTCCTAACACAAAAACCTAAGTGGCCATCAACATCGAGTTTGTAAATATTAACAAGCAGAAGCACAACCACAATTCTACTAATTCAAAACAACATTTCTCACATATAATATTTGCAAAAAAAATGTCAATAAAAGAACCAAAACAAATCTAAAGTAAATGTCATGATATTCCTAATATAAAGTATAATCCATTTCTAGTCACAAAGTCTATTACAATCAATTTCATATAGAAAATCTTAACCAACAAAGTCTATTACAATCAATTTCATATAGAAGATCTTAATCAACAAAGTCTATTACAATCAATTTCATATATAGAGAATCAAAACAAAAGAGAGAAAAATATGCAGAACTCCTTGGTTTTTGACTTTAGTGAGCCCATCAAAACATCAATCTCGCATCTTTCATCCCCTGAAATTAATTCAGAAAAATTTAAATAAGTAGAATATAAACATCAAAAACCTATAAAATGAAGTCTTAACATTCTTTTGGTAAGTTTGTATACACAATAACTGCTGAAAAATCAACTCTTGGCAACAGAAACTGTGAGTGTTCCATAGACTAGTTTTATATATCAACTATTGGGAGTCAAAGGTGTGCTTAGCCTATGGTTAGCGTTCAGGACATCAGATGTACAAAAGACAAGACTTGGGGGACCAAATTAATTATGTATCAATATACAAATAGACTCATAGGAATTACCTCGCCTCTACCAAGATTCATAGACTTATGCTAGAGAATGCATGCATCTTCTATTCTCAGTTTCTGGATTAAAGACAGGCTATGCTCCATAGAAACCAGAGTCACATGCAGGTCATCGTTGATCATAAACTTATCTCCACTCTTGACAAATAGTTTACCAGCATCAACATCCCATTTGGGCTATCTATCTAATCAAATTCACACTTAATTCTCGACAGTGAGGACATCATACATTCGGAACAAAGCGACCGAAGCATGTGGGCTTGGCATGAAAATCACACTTTTCACAAACATATACAGCCATCAGCTTAGGTATTGTGACAAGACCAATAATAATGAGGCTCATGCAACAGCTTGTTTCACTATGTTGAAAAAAGTTACTTATAATAGTTGGTACATTCAAACCAGTAAAGCAACATTTGTGGCTTAATAGTCATTACTTAGTAGTAAGAAGCTTCCACTAATAAAAGAACATGAACAAGATCTTGTCATTTATAAAAATAATTCTAACAGACGGCTACTTGAAAATATTTATGGTATTGAGTAAAGCTAGCGTTATGGGCTCAATGTTGACCTCTATTTGTTCATCGTCATTTTGCATAAACAAGCTTAAACAACCCAAGCATTAAACACATGAAAAATGAAAAATATCATGTTGGGACAACTTTTTATTTTATATCTTTATCATAGTCAATTCCAAATAGACCACTACAACAGTCATAATCAACCCCATCCTAATGAGGAAGGTAGCAATAACCTCAAATTTCTTAAATATTCCAATGAAGCCAATCATTCATCACTAAGAGTGATAGAGTGATCAAACTCTGTAAGCAAACCAAACTATCACACTACACAAGGAGACAAGATTAGAAAAATGGTAGGGTTTGAAACAAAAGTTCTGTGGAATTAAAGATTAGTCCCATGATAGCTAGGTTAAAAACCATAGTTTGATTAATGCTCAAAAGCAATGTGGAATTAAAGATTAGTCCCATGATAGCTAGGTTAAAAACCATAGTTTGATTAATGCTCAAAAGCAAAGGCTAAAACACACTTTTACTATCGTGCATGCATGTTTGTTGCATTGAACTAGTGCTATACTAGTTAGATGAGCTCACAATTCACTCTAGCATATGCCTAAAAGAACGAACCTTTCATATAATAAAATTCCACCAAGTTTGGGTGAGCTAACATTTTTGGGTCTATTGAACCTGTTATATAATAAATTATTAGGGAGAATTCCATCTGGTAATCAGCTCCAGGCCCTCCCTTATCCTTCAATATATGTGGGCAACAGAAACCTCTGTGGATTTCCTTTGTCAGAATGCGGAAGTGGTGATAAAACTTCATCTCCAACAAGCTCGATTGGTGAAGATGAAGTAGATGAAATTGAGTAGATTATTGCAGGTTTTGCTCCAGGTTTTGGGGTGGGTATTTTAGTAGTCTGTTGGGTGTTGATTTTTCACAAGACAAGGAGAGATGCATGTTTTAAATTGTCATGACAAGAATTACAGGGTTGAAAATATATAATGTTATAAGAATAGATTGATTTTAGGAACAAAGTATGCCTCTAAACAGATGAATTTGTAAAGACAATAAGAAAACTTCAACAATGATAGATGCATATAGAAGTATTCACCTTTGAAAGATAAAGAAGGGGAATATAGTAATGCCGATTTATAACGAAACAACGTATAGCCAATATATGCACACAATTATGCCAATGTCTTCTTATAATTAAACATGAGTCTTTTCTAAAGTAGGAGACACATTTAGTACTAGTTTCCATCAGTAACATATTTTCATATATGTTTGAACAAAATAAACAATCTAAATTTTATATTTCGGGCTGAGATGCTTGTGAACCAACTGCATTTTTGCAAGAACCACAATCGAATCAAAATGAGCATATATTCAACAATGTTCAGTAAGAATGAAACTATCTGAAACTAACTGCATTCATCTACAAAATGAACTAAATCAGCTATCTAAAACTAAACTAATGAAGACATGTGCACATGATAATAGTAGTGATCATAGCCAACAAAAAATTTGAATAAGTCTCCAGTTATCATTCATAAATACGCAACCAACAACAATTACTCCCAATAAATATAACCAGAGCAACAACACATGTTCTACTCTCTTCAGTTCAGAATATCAAACAACATCATCAACAATAAACAATGATTGATAGATCTAATACCATAAAAATTGAAAAAAAAATTACCTTAACTGATGAATCATTAAGTTTTTTCTTTGCTAGATTCATTTTCACATGAGAGAACAGGAATCTTCAGCAAATCTGAGAAAATTCAATCAGATCGGAGAGCTACAGTGTTGTTTTACTGTCAAAAACTAAAAAAGTTGAACAACGGTTTGATTGGCGTCAGACTGGGATTTGATCGGCGTCGAGAGTTTGGTCAGGCGTAGAACTAGGGTTTAGGCAAAGTTAAATCATGGATCGAGAGAAAGAGAGAGAGAGAGAGAGAGAGAGAGAGAGAGAGAGAGAGAGAGAGGAGAGGAGAGGAGAGAACGAGGAGGCGAGAGAGGAGAGAACGAGCACTCGAGTTTTGGAGAGAGGAGAGAACGAGCACTCGAGTTTTGGAGGGAGAGGCGATCTCTCGGGGTCAGGTCGGGAGGCGATGAGGGAGGCTTTCCGTCGCTCTCCCTCATTTTCACTAGGGCAGCGGAGAGAAAGGGGGGAAGAAAAAAGATATACAGATTTTTCTACAGTAAAATTTATTTTCTTTTCCTTTTTATTTTCTTTCAAAGCAAACAATAGAAATCTACTTTCTCTCACACTTTACTTTCCTTTCTCTCCCTTTCTCTCAAACCAAACACAGCCTAAGTGTTTAAGGAAGTTTAAGGAATTCCACACAGTCTTGCATGTACCAGGAAACATTGGAGGAATTAGGGACTACGTCTCTGTAAGCCACAGAAATTTTAAATTTACCACTTACAGTCTAAGCTTGAAATTTAGCCAGAACACCATCCGTAGAGCCCTAATTCTGTAATGCTTCATCTCTAGCCTTCAACACCTTGTTGACAAACCATATAGTACCCCATTTAAGATATGTTTCATGCATCCACTTAATCCACTGGATATCTTTCTTGTGATGTATACACTAAAGTAACTTCAATAGCAACAGCCTTACTCCAATGAATAATAGAGTAGATACTAAACCCCTATCTTTAAGGCTCTTGCAAACTGAGTACCAACGTAGAAGGGGTACCTTTCTTGATTCGTTACTTCCACCACAAAGAAATCTCCTGCATATCTCATCCGCATTTTGTAGAACCTGTTCTGGCAATATAAAGTTTGTAGACCGAAAGATATGCTCTCCGAATAGAACAGTTTTTATTAGTTGCAATCTTCCTGCATAAGAAAGATGCCTAGCATGCTAATTTTGAATTTTACCTGTAATCATCTATACTAAAGCCTCACAATCCACCACTGAAAAACCTTTTACAAACCAAGGGAACACCAAGATATCTAATGGGGAGTTGACCTTCAGCATTGTAGATGGTAAAAATTACCTTTGCAGACATACGAGAAATTCGCTTGCGAGTCGGAGTCGTCCACTGATCTTGAGGGTGGGGGCTCACCCATGGGCTGGACTCACCAGCGCAAACCCAAACCGCGCAGTTGCCAAATTCACTCGCGTTTGTTCATCACAGATCCGCCTGTATGATCGACTCGCCCGCACGAGTCAAGATCGTCCAGATTCGCTTGTATGATCGACTCGCCCGCACGAGCCGAGAGTCAAACTCGCCTACAAACAGTGTACTTGACAGCCGCTATGCTGTGCACAGGGATGGGCCTTCCTACTTCCCACGACGTGAAGGGATAGAGCACAGTACTCCAAGCCCATCAAGTAGTCACAACCAGTCAAATCCATGCAGTCATCAAATCCGCCTGCACGCTCACGATTGAAGCTCGCCTCGCCTGCACGAGTCAAGAGTTGAATCCGCCTGCAAACGGTAAGCTGACTAGACTCACTTGAGTACTTGACAGTCGCTACGCTACATACAGGGATGGACCTTCCCACTTCCCGTACGACGTGAAGGGATAGAGAACAGTACTCCAAACCCATCAAGTAGCCGCTCACAGTACGAGTGACCGGTCAGTCGCCAAGTCTTCATGCAGGAAGCTCGCCTCACCTGCACGGGTCAAGAGCTGAATCCGTCTGCAAACAGCAAGCTGACTAAACTCACTCGAGTACTGGGTAGCCGCTATCCCACGTATAAGGAGGGGCCATCCCACTCCTCACAATGTGAAGAGAAGGAGTGCAGTACTCCGAACCCACCAAACAGCCGCTCACAGTACAAACCTAAGGCATGGTATCTCCCAACGATACATGGCTATATCCCATGATTCAAGGAGCGGCCACGCCGTCTCTCCTCTATTTAAGAACCTCTCCTGGCTTCGGAAAAGAGGTTCAATAGTTTGCTCATAGCTAATTGATTAATTCAATCAGTTAACTGAACCACTAGCTCTCGACTCTCAAGAGAGTTGACGACAAACTCTTTGCATAATCTTTGCACTGCAGCATCTTCTCCTAGTTTCGGGCCCTGATCGCCGTCAAACTCGGAGACTCAAACTCTATCGATCTGTGCTTCCACTACGTACTGAAGCTCGCCAGCAACCTCGGTCGAATTGTCCAAGGGAAGCAGACTCAGCGCGAGAACCGAGCGAAGCGTCCTATAGCTACCGAAAGTCTCCACGTTAAACTAGGAGGGCATTTCCTCTGCTTCTGTTGTAATTTCCGATTCATTAGTTTGTAATAAGCCGTTCTTATCAATACAAACAAAATCCCTATTTTGAGAGATTAGAAATTCACACCTACAGAAGATAGCGACCACAATGGAAGGATCTGTTTCTTCAACCGAAATGGTGGTAGCTCAGTTCGATGAGGTTGCTGTTGGGGTGACTTTGGAGTCCTTGGAAATGGAGTTCGACCAAGGCAAGTACGAAGAGTACTTGTCTTCTTCCTCCTCTGGTGGCAATGCGTCCCACAAACACCACAGAGTCGTGCGTAGAGGCCGACCTCAAACGGTCAAAGCCTCTGCGCCTAAAGACTCTATCCGAGTCACGTCGGGGGAACCCACTCCCTCCAAATCGATCAAGGCCAAGCCAGAGGTCGAGAGAACTGGGCGAAAGCCCGCCAGATGGGTCGCTAAACGGCCCTCACAGACACCCGCCCAGAAGGAAATAGTAGTTCACTCCGACGCGGACCATGCTGCCATAACCCGCACAGACACTCCTCTCTCCAGAAGAGCTCGCCAGCGGCAACGACATGCCCTCGCCCGATAGGAAGCCCAAGCCTTTGTATCATACGATGGCGTGAACTATTACACAGGTGCGAAAAGTGTTAGACAAAGGGGCAACTCGCCCAACACTGGAAGGCTCTCCAAATCAGGAGCACCAACCGAGAGGGATGAGACCGCCCGTTCGGGTAGGCTTTGCTTCTCAGGTCACGTCCGTGATGCGAATAAACCACCCCGAACGAGTGAGCCTACCCGAGTAGGCGAACCCTCGAGGGTGGGCGAGCCTCGCCACGATCCCTGGACGACGGATAAGTGTAACCAGCGGGAGGGCCTTGACCACAAAGGCAAAGCAGTAGGCGATACCTCACAAACTCGCCTGCGTGAGAAAAGGGTTGAATCTCACCTACATGCTGGAGTTCACCCAAGCGCAAAGACTCGCCTGTCAAGGCGAACTCGCCCAACTCCAACACCCAAACATTCTACCCAGTGTACGCCAGGGAGTGCATCTGAAACTCTCCTGTGTAATTACCCGGGCGACCCATCTGACGTTAGGGGTTGTCGCCAATCGTCCACAAAAGACCTCTGGGGTTACTTAACTCACAAACGCACCATACATGAGGTGAATCCTCAGTGCCACTGCGAAAGGCTTATCCAAACAGTATTCGCCGACTGCCAATGTATAGGAATGGCAAAACCTTCGGTGTTCGAGAGGCTCTCTTGACGGCCTTCTTGACCGAGACCTTCTCGTCGAAGGAGTCGTCATAAAAAAGGACACGCCGCCGACGATCTAGAGCTCACATCCGCTACAATCAACATGACGGACAAGGGCAAGGCCATGCTTTCCGGTTCTCAAGACTCGGACTCCTTCCTGGGACCTCATCCTCCGCTTGTCCAATGTGAACAAGATGGTATATACCGGCACACCCGTAGTCGCACGGGGGTGAGCATTAGGTTTGATTATTCAACCTTAGCACCTCCCTCCGACGACGAAGACAAGATTTACTCGGTAGCGGCTACATCCCAAACATCGCACTCGAGTCAGGACGCACTGGCAAGGGTACACATGGCCGAACCCACACAAGAACAGGCGGTGGCCCAAAGGTTTGAAAAACAATAGGCGACCATAGACTCCTTAAGAGAAATGTTGGAGAAGCTTCTGAGCAAGAAGAAGAAGAAGAAAAGAGCCCAGCACGCCTTACCGCGACAGACGGGGAGTAAGGAATGGATACCTCCCTGTTGTCCGACGACTGAAACAGAGAATAATATCGGTCCACAATCCGATTACTCTTCCAAAACATCGCTAGGAACGTCACATACTGGGGGTAGCGCCCGCGACAAGAGGTTCGATGAGTTCCAAAACCAGCTCAACGCGTTAAAGCTTCAATAGAACATAAACAAGCTGGGGGTGGTCCGACCCTATCCTGTCGAGTGGGATACAGTCCCATACCTAGTGAAATTCAAGCCGATTAGCTTGGTGCAATTTGATGGCAAGGGCTCGCCCTCGCAACACATTTATTACTTCATTGCGCAGACAGGATTCCTTATGGGAAATGACGCTATTCTCACTCGGCTATTCATAGGAACCCTCAAAGGGGTGGCATTTGAATAGTTCTGTAAGTTAGAACCTGGCTCTATCAAGTCATGGGCAGATACGGAAAGACTCTTCTTGGCCCGCTTCTTCGACGACGATACGGAGGTGTCGATGGCTACCCTCCTCGCCGAAAAGCAACAGAAGTCAGAGTCGGTCAACGACTTCGTGAAGAGGTTCAGGAACCGATCGGTCCACTGCCGGGATCAAGTTTCCGAATCCACACTGATCGAGATGTACCGCAATAATCTCTCAATCTATATTCTATCCAAGGTTGGCGCGGTGGAAACCCGGACCTGGAAAGAACTTGTTCGTCAGGAAGAGCAAGTGGAAAACATGATCAAAAGGTTAGAGGCCAAAGAGCCACAGCCCAAGAAGGGATCCGTGGAGCCAGCCGTGCCAAAGAATCCCTCTCGAACAAGAGGAAAAGAGATCATGGTCATCGATTCCGCCCCGACACCCAAAACCGCTCAAAGGTCGAAGCCTAGACAATTCGAGCAACGCCCCCCGCAACAATACGACTTCAAAGAAGACCGGGTGGTGGCGACATTCGATACTTTATTCAAGAGCAATCGAATTAAATTGCCAGAGGCCATGAAGCCTGAGGAGGCAAACAAAACCAATGACCCGAGTTATTGTGTCTATCACAGATTCCTTGGCCACCACACTTCTAAGTGTTACATCCTCAAGGATAATCTCCAGGCCCTGTACGATGCAGGAGTCTAAAGAAGGAGAAGGTTCAAAAGCAGGTGACCACGAATATGATCTCCTTGAGCTTTGGGACAGATCTCCCGGAGGTCCAGGCTCCGGCAGGGGTAACTCCTATCCCCAAGGCAGTCCTGAAAATCACTAA